CCCAACCCACTAGGAGTCAAGTATGGACTCCATAAATTTATGTAAGAAGATCATAAATTTGTATTAAATAGTGGGAGCATAATTAATTTAATAAAAGTCCATGTTAAATTAATTGATGCATTTTATATATTATTCTTTTTCTTTTCATCATTTATATTTATTGAATCGTGAGTAACCATATGTATTTGAGAGGCATATTGGATGCCAACAACCAAATTAAATCTTCTTGATTTCCACTGCAATTTGAGAATTGTTTTTAAGTATGAGAAAGTTGGCTATCCTTAAGTAGCCATTTTCCAGAGACATATGGTGATAACTCGATTAAGGAAGAGGTGGCTGCTATAATAAACGCGGTGATGAAAATAGTACTGCAATGTATGTAATACCTGCAATTATGTCACCTGAGTTACAAAAACAACTTGAGAGTATAGATGTTAACACATAATTCTTCATTACAAAGAGTTGTATGATAATAATCATGTGTGGAAGGATATGAGACTTTCAAACAACTATACCGATGCAAAGTGACAAAAGAATTTTCAGTCAATTCTCATGTACTGAAGATGATTGACATGAGAAGTGTCTCAACTGAGTTCAATCATCAACTATGAATTAAGTATTGACTTAGCTCTGCAATCTCTATCATAGAGTTATTCATTCTAATTTTGAATTATGATATGAATAAGCTCGAATGTATACTCATTAAGTTGCTTGACATGCTTATGACTGTTAAGCCATTTTTCAAAGTTGGTAGTGGGAAAACCATTGATTCCTCTAAGGGTATTAAGAGGAAATCTAAAGGGACTTTGGGAAAGCACCCAATATGGTTAAGATAGTCTAAGCGAAGGACAATACTAAATCTAATGACCCTTGGTTTCATCATAGAATGAAAGGTCATTGGAAGGAATATTGCGTGGCTTACATCTACTTCACGAGTTTCTTAGGTATTTGATACTAGATGTAGATCTCATATTTATACAAATATGGAGAAACTAAATAAGAAGTAGACCATTGCAAAAGGGAGAAGATGACCTACACGTTCGAGATGAGCAAAGGTTACTGTATTGCCTGTAGGAATATACTTCTTGCCATTGCCTTTTGGTTTAGTATTGGAATTAGAGAAATGTCGATTTATACCAACCATAGCTGGAACATTAAAATGAATTTCATGTTCAGACATGAACCATTTTAATGTTAAGGACAATTGTTGTTCCTGCATATCTTGATTAAGATCTTAATATTTGTGATAAGTTACGAAATAACATTTATATTCTAAATACTAAGGATTCTATAATGAGTATAGAAATTATAAGGCATAAATGCGATAATCTAATTATTACCAAAATCTGGCATGACAGACTTTGTCATATAGATGAAAAGTAATTCCAAAGTTACATAAAGATATGTATACTTGAGATTAATTAATTTTGACAAGTACAAATTATGCATGTCTGGCACAATGACCAAATCTTCTTTCACTTGAAAAGAAGAAAGGTCAGCATCATTACTGGTCTAATGCATAGTGATGCATTTGGACTCGTGTCAATTAATGTCAGGTAATGTTTCTCTTATTTCATCAATGATCATGTATACTTGATGAAAACTCAAACATGAAACTCTTAAAAAGTTTAAGGGATTCAAACTAGAAGTAGAGAAACAAATAGGTAAAGATACCCTCACATTAAGATTCGATCAAGTGAGAGTATTTTAAAGATAAAATCTAGATTATCTAAGAGAGAATGAGATTCTCTTGCAGTGGACTCCTCCACATACACTGCATCATAGTGGTGTACCTAAAAGGAGGAAACGTTAACTATTAGATATAATGCGATTAATAACAAGCCATGCGAATCTCCCAAAATTGTTTTGGGGTCATGCATTGATTGCAGTGTGCAACACACTAAATCATGTCCCATCTAAATTGGTTAACAGAACTCCATACGAATTATAGAAAGACAATAGTCCCAATTTATTTTATATGAAAGCTTGGGGCCATAATGCTTATTTGAAGCGCCTTAAATTGGATAAGTTTGACACTAAATCTGATAAATACGTATTTGTGGGGATATTCAAAGGAGACATTTGAATATAAATTCTATTATCATGAAAAAAATCTTCGTCTCACGATATATCGTCTTCTTCAAGAAAATGTTTACTCTATGGGAGGACAGTGGGAGCAAAATAGAACTTGAAAGAGTTCAAGAGTCCACAGATATAGTTAACCAAGTAGATAAATCCGAGTTTGATCCCATATCTGATATGGGACATATTCTTGATCAGAAAGTAAAGACTCCTGAGGACATGACAGCTCTATGTGAATATAGTATGATCATTTGACTTTCAAGAATGTGTGAATCCATGATTATTAATCAAGTATTAGTGATCCAGGATAATGAACCTGCTAGTTGCAACAAAATAAAGTCGAGTATTGACTTAAAAGAGACAGCAAGAGACCATGAAACTCGAAATGAACTCGACGTATGTAAACAAGGTTTGGACCTTGGCTAAGTCTCTTGATAGAATAAAGCCCATAAGTTTTTGTAAATAGTTTACAAGGAAAAGATCGATATGGATGGAAATATCCATATATACAAAGCAAGGCTAGAAGCAAATGTTAAGTGTTGACCTTGGTGAAACCTTTCTCATATAGCCTTGCTAAAGTCCATTCAGGTTTTGCTTGCAATAGTTGCATACCATGACTATAGGTTAAGAGAAGTCTCTTGAAGCTGAAATCTTCGATTTGATGGAAAAGTCAAAGTGTTTGATTTTATCAAATTTGAAGACGAATTGTGTTGTTTACAAGAAGATAGTGGGAGCATTGTCGTATTCCTAATATTATGGAAAACGACATCCCTATATTTCAATCGTTGAAATAATGGTTGTTAAAGGATTTATTCATGACAGATATGGGATAAGCAACTTGATCTATAGAGGAAGATCTAGAAGATTGCTTAACTCATCTCAATTTACATAGATAAAATCTTGAGAATATTTCATATGGAGAAACTAGTTTACTCTTAAGCAGTATGCTGGAAAGGTTTCGAACGTGAAGCAACCGTTGATTCAATAGTAGAAACCTAATACATGATTACTTCAAAAGTAGCAAAGAGTTGCAATCTGGATCATGATGTTCATAAATGAACTTGGAGTAGTTCCTGATTTTGCTGATCACATGTCATTATAACGTGATAACAATAGAGCCATTGCAAAAGTGAAGGAACTAAGGTTTCATCAATGATCCAAACATGTATTAAGGCGGTATAATCTCATCAGAGAGATAATACATAGAAATGACGTAAAAAAAGAACAAATTCCCACATTTAACAATATTGCAGATCCACTAACAAAGAGTTGTCGTAGCATAAACATGATAGTCATGTAGACTTATGATATTGAATACATAAGTGATTGGATCTAGTGCAAGTGGGAGTTTGTAAGTATTATGCTCTAAGTCCAATCAACTTTGGACATAAATACTTTTGATATATAATTAATGCAATTTAATGGCAGATCTATTATTTAATTAATAGACAATTAAATAAATAATAGAGTCCGTAAATTCAAATCTTCATAATTTGTTAATCACAAGGAGTTGTGATTGTGAGATACAAATTACATCTGATTGAATCTTAAATCGTCCGTGGTCGTAAGTAATAACGAGATACGGATATCGTTATTACGAATAGACCATCACGTGTAGCATTTCTTACTTGTGAAGTGAGTAGATGATCTCACAAGTTAAAGTGTGGTGACACTTAAATGAACCTGTGGATGTTTTGTTATAAAATAAAATATTGGAGACCCGCCGAGAGATTCCACATGGATAACTATCTGAGTGTCAGTGGTTAATCTCTAACGTTCGGTAGTGAAATTAGTCTTTTGACTTGAGGTCGTCATGGTACCTTATAAGAGGACAGTCATACTTTGGCAGTGTTGGATGTTGCTCTACAAAGGGCCACTAATACGACATCGTTCGGGTACGTCAAGAATCGTATGAAGGTTGTGATTGATCAATAAAGGATTTATCACTCTTAGATAGTAGGAGATTATGATCTGCGTTTCATTCAATTAAGTCGATGATGAAATCCTTGGTCAAGGTGTACTCATAAGTCGAAAAGAGGTTTTCAAATTATATTGAATTAATAAAGGAGTGAAAGATATGATCGTTAATCGAGATTGACAGACTTCCATATCTCGTAATTGATCGGATCATATTGACGAAGGGATTATAGTTTCACGGTAAACGAACGAGTTTGGTTTTGTCATACCACATGACATTTCTCGTCACATGTATTGCCCTGATACATTGCAAGATATCAATTTGGGACGGCGAGTGTGAATTGATGATAAATTAACATAGTTTTAATTTATCAATTTTGATTAGATCAAAATAATATTTTACGTCGTTAGGCATTCTGATCCGGAACCTGATGTTTGCACACAAAAGAGAATTGGAAGATTGCAATTTGTCAATTAATTAATTTAACAATCGTTAGATAAATTAATTAATTGGGTTGATTATTTATAGGCACGAACCGAATTTAATTAAATGGATTAATTAAATATTGGACCGAACCGGACCAGTCTCGTTTGGGCTTATATAAATACAAGGTTAGGATTTTCAATTCATATGGTTTTTCTCATAATTATTCTTGCTAGCACAAGAAGAGAAAACCCGAATAGTTGTAATCTTATTCTTTGTGTGGATCACCGTTGAAAACTGGACAATTGGACAGCTGTAGATGGCAAATCAAAATTGTTGGAATGAAAAGAAAAGCAAAAGGTTTACAGAATTCTTCAAAGGTACAATCTTTATCACGATTTCTATCTAAAAATAAAGGGATCCTCGGTGGGAATCGAAATAATTTTAATTTTTCGCTGTGTATGTATAAGTAGATTCCCAACATATTTCTCATACCAAACCGGGCGGAGAAGCTGGAAACGGCAGAGGAGGAAAAGAAGAAAGAAAAGAAAAGAGAAAGGAAGAAAAAGAAGAAGAAAAGGGAAAAAGATGAGGAGAAAAAGGAAGGAAAATAGGTAGTTCAAGCTTGTTTCCATTCTCCTTTCTCTATATTTTCTTCAAGAGGTAAAGGAATGATTTTATGTTAGATTTTTAGGGTTTTTACTTGTATAAATTTCAGATTTAAGAGGCTAAGAGTACAAATTGGAGCTCAAGTTTGCTGATTCTTTAATCTCCAATTTCATTAAGGTAAGAATACCAATTTTTTTGGCAAACTCTAGATTTTAAATTGGATATTGAGTAAGGATTAATTGTGAACATGATTATGGTGATGATATATTAACTTGAAAGAATGGATCTATGGAATAATATGTAAATTAGATTGGTGCAAGTGGGAATTCAAGTTTCACTAGATTAGAATAGAGAATTGTTTTTATGTTTGGGATGTAGGTAATTATGATAATTTAAAGATTAGTGAAATGCTAGAAGGTAGAATTTGTTTCAATTGTGAAGGAAACTAAAGAATATATTCAAGTGTCGAAAAGTCAAGTTCTAATATTTCATAATTAAATGTTAAGAGATACTTAATATGGGAGTTGTTAAATTAGTTATTTTACATCGTATTTCAGGTGATGACGTGAAAGCTTTACAAGGCCGGTCAATTTGACCACATTGTTATCCATAGATCTGTGAGCGGAGAATCTACGTTTTCAAAAAAAAAAAAAGAGAATATTTTCTTTTTATTTTATAGAAGCATATTAATTACATGAAATGCCTTATTTTCGAGAATTACTAAATGAGCATGATTGTTTTGAAATTATCAAAAAATAATTGATGTGATTATCTTACTCTAGTGCACTGAGGGGCTACGACCGTGTACTAGAGTCATGTATTTAGCTCTTATCCATTAAGGGGCTACGGCCGTGGATAAATGTATCCAATATACACTGAAGGGCTACAACCATGTGTAAGGGTAACTCTTATCCACTGAGGGGCTACGGTCGTGGGTAAAGGTATCTATTATGCATTGAGGGGCTACAGCCATGTATAAGGATGATTATGTTGTTTTCATTTTGTACACTAAGGGGCTACGACCGTGTACATAGTATTGATCAGACGGTTTATGTGCATATGATTTTATAGCTTTCAGATCATTAGTAGATGTTTACATGGAGTACATTTTAATGTGAATTTTAAGTATATAGATTATTAGCCTTCAACTTACGTTTCCCCGTTTACAATTTAGTTTATGGATTTCAGATTATAGAATTCAATTTATTCAGTTCTAAGAATAAAGCTTCCGACTTATAATATTGAGCAACAACAATATTCCATAGATTTTCATGAGTGCTAGATTATTTATATTCATTATACTTTGCAGTTACTTGTCTAGAATTAAGAAATAAGAATTTTATAATGCAATCATGCTTAGTTTAAAAGTGTTGCTAGATTTAAGCATTTCCCAAATATTTAATAGAGTTAGAATTTTCAGGAAATGTGCATAAATGGAAAAGTATACTTAAGTTCAATCTATCCACTAACTGAGTTACAATCTCATATTTTGTTACCCTTTTTCTTTATCAGATAGCAGCTGAGTTGAGTAGTATTGAAGCCTGTCGATCTACTGAATTGAGCCACACGTCATTAGTTGTATGGTCTACTTTATCAGATTAGGTAGTACCTGTTTCTTAGGTTACATGTAGTTTATGTTAGAAAAGGTTGTTATGAGATCACTATATGGTATATTTAGTAGATTTGAGGATTATTGATAGTAAAGCAAGAAATTTTCAAATTGTCTGTATTTTATTTTGAATAATTTGGATTTTGAGGCCCTGATGTACTTGTTTTATGTTATATGTATTGAGTTGAGGAAATTGATTATGAATCAGGTGGTTTTAGTCCATATTTTAGAGGAGACTCTATCAAAATTCATTAAAAATTTCCTCACAGTCAGACAAGTCATGGTTGCCTTAGTGGTGGGTCTAGCACTTAACTGATATCTATCATCGGCGCACGACATGTGTCGGTTCCATTAAGGTAATTCAGGACGGGTCGTGTCAATAACAATGTGTTTATCCATGAAGCGAATTACCAAATGTGGATTGTCAACCCAATATTGATTAAGAAGAACAACGGGAATTGGAGAATATTATAGATTTCATCGATCTCAACAAAACCTATCCCAAGGATAGCTTCTCCTTCCTGAGGATAGACCAAATAGTTAATGCTACAATTGGACATGAGCTACTTAACTTCATGGGGGTTATCCAAATTCCAATGTACGAACTTAACCAGGAAAACACTTCTTCCATCACTAATTGAGGTCTCTATTGCTATAAGATTATGTCCTTCGGTCTCAAAAATGTTGGAGCCACATATCAATACCTTGTAAATATCATTTTCTCTAAACAAATTGGTAAAACCATGGAAGTGTATATTGATGATATGTTTGTCAAAGGAAAAGTAGCAAAAGATCATGAACAGTACATGGCTGAGATGTTCAAAATTCTAAGGAAATACAAGATGAAATTAAATTCAATCAAGTGCGCCTTCAGAGTAGATTCAAGAAAATTCGTAGGTTACATGATAAATCAAAGAGGGATTGAAGCAAATCTAGAAAAGATACGAGTCATCATTGAGATGAGAGCGCCTATCTTCCCAAAGGAAGTTCAAAGCATCATCGGTAGTAGAGCTGTGCTCAACCATTTTATTTCCAAGTCCAAAGATCGATGTAGACCTTTTTTCGAGATGCTACAAAGGAGAACAAAGTTTAAGTGGACTCCAGACTACCAGAATTCTTTTGAAGAACTTAAAAAAACAATTAGCTCAACCATCGGTCATCTCCAAACCCAATGTAGGAGATAAAGCTATATACAATGTAGAGCTACATCACTTTCCCTTAGAAACATTGGTCTATGCAAGATCATGGCAGCTAGGTAATTGAGGCCCTTTTTCTTGGAGCATGCAATCAAAGTTTTAACGAATTATCCTATAAAGAAATTTCTGCAAAAGCTCGATACTTCAAGGCAGATGGTAAAGTGGACAGTCAAGCTAGGTTAGTTCAACGTAAGCCACAACCTTCGCACTACAATAAAAGAACAAGTGTTAGCTAATTTTATTACGGAATATATACTGACCTACAAAAGATCAATTACATGACACCCTATGGGAGCTTTTTGTCGACAGATCTTCCATTGAATCTCGATTAGATGCAGGATAGTACTTATCAGCCCTGAATACCATTTTTTTTTTGTAAGGCCGTTATGTTTGACTTCAAAGCTTCAAACAACGAAGCTGAATATGAAGCACTCATAGATGGAGTGAGCATAGCAATGGAATTAAAGATCTTCAACATACAAGATTAATGAAACCTATAAAGCAAAAGAAGACTGAATGAACGACTACCTTTGAATTGTCAAAAAGAAATTTGAAAAACTTTTGGGCCATCCGTGTTAGGCAAATTCCAAGAACTTACAACAGCCATTTTCTCTGCCTTGGCTAGGCTGGCAACAAGTTGCAAAATAGAAGAATTGAACAGTATACCTATGAAGAGACTCCAGCACTAAGCTATTGAAAAACAAGGAATAGTTTCCATGATCATTGACCCAAAGCCTACCTGAATAGATGAATTACCTTATACCTCAAAACAGGGTTGTGCCCCAAAGACCCCATAGAAGCTCGAAGGTTACGGATATGGGTATTTCTGGCCAACCTTAAACAAAACACCCTAGATTTTTAAGAAAATGTGACAAGTGCCAATGACAAGCTCCCATCATTAAAGTAACACTAGAAAAGCTGAGCTCAATAGTTAGTCCACGACCGTTCTCCAATTGAGGATGATTTGATTGGCACAATGTCTATAGGGAAAGATAGAACCAAGTTTTCCATTGTAACAGTGGATTAATTTACCAAGCAGGCTGAAGTTGAGCCCCTTGTCATATTTACTAAACAAAAGACAACAGATTTTATATGATGTAAGATTTTCCTTTTTCAATTACAGCAAATTTTTAATTGCATCATTGAATAACGTGAGTTGAATTTTATATCCCCAAGAAGTCAAATTCTATGTTACTTCTAATATATAATGCAATGATAAAAAAAAATAATCATCATGGTAGACGTAGGACCTCCTTCTCAATTAGGATATCAAAATTTTAAGCATTATTGGAGTAAGATTCGATCAAGTGCTTGTGAATTACTCACTTTAATGGACCATTCATTTTTATACATTGATAGCTCTCTTATATTATATGACTCCATGATGCAGGAGCAACCCCAATTTGGCTAAAAGCTCTCTGTTGATATGTTAGAAAGAAAAAGCAAAATATTTTATGATTGAAATAAAATAACAACCAATTCGAGAAAATAATTTAAATATTTGAGGAGATCAATTAAATTAGTCGCTTTATTTACCCTTTTGATCTAAATATGAGAGAAAATGTAACCTCGTGAAAATAAATGTTAATTATTATACATGTACGTAAATAGTGAAATGCATATTTGAATGTGAGTATTAGAATTACAACTGCATAAATGAAGATGAATGCAAAGAAGATACATGAGTTAATGTGAATGTTAATGAATTTAGAATTAATACCATGAAATGTATACGTGACAATGAATGTTAAATCATTTATGCTAAATGAATATAATTTGATTTCCAGTTAAGTGGAATTTGATGCTAATTAGCATGCATGGAAACGAATAATAAACTGCATTCTTGAAGGTGAAATTCTAATTAAAATATCATTAGAATTAATAAGACTGAAATGCATAAATAAAGATGAATATTAATTAAATGAATGTAAATGTTAATTAATTGAGAATTAAATACAATTTTTTTTTTTAAAAAAGGAAGATGTGATATTATTAAAATGATTGAATTGTAATAGGGCTAGAATCGTCCAAAAAAGATTTTCACTTGATGTCATCATCGTCATTGTTGTTGTTGAAATTCTAATTAACTTACAAGTAGAATTAATAACACTGAAATGCATAAATGAAGATGAATATTAATTAAATGAATGTAAATGTTAATTGATTGAGAATTAAATACATATTGTAAAAGGAAAAAAAGTACTATTGAAATAATTGAATTAAAAGGAAAAAAAAGTACTAGTGAAATAATTGAATTGTAATAGGGCTAGAATCATTCAAAAAATGATTCTTATTTGATGTGATATTTAGCCACCGTTTGACCCCATTATTTGAAATTTTAATGGTTGTAATACTAGTTTTCTAAAGAATATGCGTTAATAAAATTTTAAAAAAATGGAATTACGGGTAATATTATTGAATTGAAGAATGTGTGATTGATAAAAAGAGAAAGAAAAATGAATTATAATTTTAATGAATGCCAAAAAGACTTAATATATTATAGAAATTTAATATGTTATTGACGTTTTGATTTGGATTTAAATCTTGAATTTTGGTTGCTTCAGTTTGTAAATCAGTTCACCCTCTTGATCTGTCATTTCTGTTCAGTCTGATCATTAATATAAGTCTGACCTGTTTCTCTCATTTCCTATCTATTTCTCAACGCCTCATATTTCTATTGTTTCTATTCTGTTCTACATCAATTTGGCAAGTAGTAGACAAGAGAGTTAAAATAAAAACCTCTTAGTCTCACTTGGTGGCTCTTAATTTACTTCTAACTTGATTGGTTATAATTAAGGTTTATTTGACCTTTTAAAGTTCGTATTCTTTAACTCTTTAATGAACAATAGAGATTGACTCTATTTTATGAGCGATATCTGTTACGTGTTGTCATACTTGGTCAACCTACGTGGGCCTATAGCTCACTCAATCTGAACCACGTGGCGCTCTAGTCGAGGTGGTTTGTATATCCGAGGCCTTCACGCCGAGGCCTATGAAGATAGCCGAAACCCTAAAGCGGAAGTACTACATGAGTGGCAGAAACCCCGAATCCGAAGCTGAAGCAGAAGCCCCCGAACCAAAAAGGAACGTCTTCCATGGTCACTTTTTCCAAGAGATCTTCTACATAAAGATCTTGCTAGAATGATTGATGGAACGTTTGTCATGAATATACATGTCAAGTCTTGTTATTAGCATGGGGGTTCTGCATAAGCAATAAATGTGCAGCAAGATAGCAAGTCAAGGATGATGCCTAAGATTGGATGTTTGAATTAAAGAGATGAGGCCACGTGCCACCTCATCTAAGAACTGTCATTTCACATGTAACACTATAAATACTTCCCTTGTATAATATTGAAGGACTAATGCAAGAATCAATACAAGAAACCACACTTTACTCTCTCTTTCATATTATTTTACAACACAATATGAGTTCATACATGCTTACATTCACATTTGCGAGCACCGATTGGTGATTATTATACAATCGGATTACGAACATCCCGCTGGATTCCGAATGTACTCGTCCCGTGTCATTGAGCTACTCCCACGCCCCTAAAGATGTTCGTTCCAGACCGTCCACGTGTCTTAGCGTGTATGACATTCGCTTACGTGTGCGCGGATGGGTCCGGCATCTATTGGCAATACTTTTCGGGGTCAACAATATCATTTTGTTTATTATTATTGTAAATATGTACAAAGATTCTTCTAGCAATATTGTTTCTACAACCTTCCAGACA